CATTTGAAGAGCATTTGGGGCATAGAAATTTTCATGTCGAGTTTACCAGTTTGAATTCATCAGAATTTTGTAAAATCACAAAATGTATTAATTATTTGTCTGTTATGAAACAATTTGTTTTTCCTCGTAGCTCGTAGCCTTCTCATGTTCATTTATCTTTATTGATTGTTAACTTCTTCATCCTTTTATGGTAGCCTCCACAGAAGAAAATGAGGATTACATAAATGACTATCAGTTTGCTAGTTCAATTCAACAAACACTCGTTGAAGTACCTGTAGGGATCAGAGCACTGCATGTACTAGGTATTGAAGGAGATACAAAGTCAGTAACGCAGGGTTTAGAACCTCAGGGAATATAAAATATAGCAAGAATTAAATTATGTAAGCATGCAGTAAGTTCTTTGGGACCAAATCAAGTTGTCTTCTGGGACTGTGCTAAGATGCTCTTAGTGCCATTACTAAGTCTGTTGTAATTCATCTTTTCTGTTCTTACACAGTGTGGACCTAGTAGACAGAGCTGGCCTGCAAGCCAGGAAACTGGGGTCCAAGTCCCACCCAACACATGCTGACTGTGTTACCTTGAGCAAGTCACCTAACCTCTGAGTGCTCTAGACCAGTGCGTTAGACCTCTATGATAATTACAGTTGAAATATTCAGTGGAGCTACATGAGGAATGAGGGCGGTCTATCTTGTTTGTTACTGGAAGTCCAGATGAAGTGCCATAAATCACAACGGCTCTCTAAAGGCAGCATCTCTTTAGTTAACTGTGGTATTTGTAGAAATTGCAGACTTAAGTAATCATTCCAAGGCACTGACACCAGTGTCACAGTTTCAGGTACTTTTCTAAATAACATAAATTGTCTTTAAGATAGCTTTCAGAGCCCTTAAGAAAATTCTTGTCATCCACAAAGGTTAACCTTGCAAACATCAGAGATGATTGCCAAGAATCTAGTATGGTAGGGTCAGAATATATTGTCTAAGATATTTTTATTTAAATTCAAATACAGTAGACTTTTTCTCCCCCTGGGCTTTTAGGGTAACACACAAGAACCATCAATGGTCTTTCAGGATTTTCTAATTGTCAGGCAGACAGATTGGTCTCCATCTCATCACTGTCTGGGAATATTAACTAACTGACTTCTATTCCTGGCCTTATAATATAATATAATAATAAATCCTGGCCTTACGGTAGGGCAAGTAGTTTCCCTGTTCCATACTTGAGCTTTCCCATCTATAAAATTAGAATATTAGGCCTCAAGGCTTGTCTTTTCCTGTTTCAAATGAATGCTATAAGGATGAATTAGGTAATAGATTATTAGAGAAGCATATAAACATGGAATACTGTATTATAATTCTGTGACATGTCATTGATTATCTCACTGTATCCAGCGTCAAGGATGTGTAAACCTGGTAGCATTCAGTGTATCTCAGGAACTAGTTTAATGAACAGGTTTGTGTGATGAGTGCTACAAGTAACAACAGGCAGAAGACATTTAGCATTTGGTAAATTTTAGGCCCAATTCTTTTCTTCTGTTTCAGTCCTGTAAAGTCTCGGATTTCTGGCTCTTGCTCAGAGTGACAGCACTCTGTGGAGTCTCTTGGTACTGGCTAGCCACTGTCACAGACCCACCCAAAGGAGCATGAAGTCAGCTAAGCGGGGGTCAGGTTGGTTCTGATTTTTTTTCACTATACGGAGCAGTTTTGTCACTCTTAAAAAAA